TTACTTCGTCTGTTTATATCACCATGCAAAGCAGCTCACCAAAACGTCACAACGATGTAGAAAAAATAACGGGTATATTTATTATCTTAAGTCTACATGAAATCTATACCCTACACAGACTAATGAAATACTATCTGTAAAATTATCTATGTAAAAAAACCTCATCACTTGAGAGGGTAGGTGATGTTGACGTCGTGGAAGAAATGTTGTCCCGTAACGCTCGCCGTACTGTTGGGGGAGAAGCGGTGGGGGGGGAGATGTTCATGTTGCTGCGGTCTGCAGTCTGACCGCTAGATGTCGCTGAAAATTACACACTGTAGCTTTAAAGGAATAGTACACCCAAAACATGATTAGCCTTCATTTTCTACTCACCTCCATGCTGAACAACACTCTGGAGTACTTTTTTGATATCTCAAATGCATCTGGAGATCTGGGAGGCTTCTTGCTGTCTGCTGACATTCAAATAATGGAGGTCCATGGCGCCCGAGACAGAAAGGTCCATAAAAGTCCACAAAAACGTGTCAATATTCCTCCATACTGCTCGTCCAATGTAATCCAAGTGTCCTGAGTGGGTAGCATCCAGAATTTACTCGAAACGAAGTCATTTAGAATGTTTTTAGAGCATAAACAGTAGTGTATAGGATTTCCTAATAGCGCCCCCATGCACGCTCACGATTCTACGGAAGCCGGCAGACCAAACCGGAAGAAAGTGCGCATTCAGCGTCTGGTCTGCCGATAATGCAAGCGTAGAAGAAGAAATGTGCTGTTTACCTGTGCAAAGAAAGAAACAACGAAAGAAAAATGTCTGAGGTCTTCAGTGTTGAGGAAGAGCATGAGTTCTTTGCCGAGCTGAATGCGCTGGTTTGGTCTGCCGGCTTCCGTAGAATCGTGAGCGCGCATGGGGGCGCTATTAGGAAATCCTATACACTACTGTTTAGGCTCTAAAAACATTCTAAATGACTTCGTTTCGAGTAAATTCTGGATGCTACCCACTCAGGACACTTGGATTACATTGGACGAGCAGTATGGAGGAATATTGACAAGTTTTTGTGGACTTTTGTGGACCTTTCTGTCTCGGGCGCCATAGACCTCCATTATTTGAATGTCAGCAGACAGCAAGAAGCCTCCCAGATCTCCAGATGCATTTGAGATATCAAAAAAGTACTCCAGAGTTTTGTTCAGCATGGGGGTGAGTAGAAAATGAAGGCTAATCATGTTTTGGGTGTACTATTCCTTTAAGGTACGGCTGCTGATTACACTTCACATGCACATATTGGTTGATATAAAAACAAGATCCAAATGCTAATGTCAGCCAAAAATATCTGTATCAGTTTATCTCTACTTCTTATATCTTGCCTTCAAACTTGCCACCTACTAATCAACACTGGATCTTTGATGCATTAAATCAGTGGTTGTCCTTTAAATCTGTTCTCTCACCTGAGCTTTGGATCTCAGCAGCTCCTCCAGGGTTATCATGGACCTCTTTGCTACTTCTCTCATAAATGCTCTAGCTTTTTTAATTTTAGTCTAGGTGCATGGTGGAAGATTTACTGTCACAGCACATTTGAAGATTGTTTCGATGTTCAAACTTTGATTGCACACATGTCCCCAACTTATATTTGCCTTTAAGATAAATCCCCCAAAGCACATCAATGTTTGCTGTAATTAAACTACAATAATATGAAAAATTGTTTAAAGATGAATCAGTATTTTTTTCTACAGGGCTCAGTACCTCCTAGCTGAATAATCTCTATCAATTTCAGTTTATCTCTATGTATTTCAGTTTATGTATTGTTTGTCCTTTTTTCATAAGGTTAGAGTTCAGCTTGGGAGTCACTACCTACATGAAGCTCCTCTCCTCCTGCAGATCTCCCTGCAGCATCTTCATCATTCTGACAGAAAGGAAACACATGGCTTCTTGGTTTTCATGCAGTCAAATATTGTTAAAAACAGCGAAAACAGGCATCGCTGCTCTGGAAAACGGTGCAATTCTGCCCTCGTGTGGTCGCAAGTGGAATTGATATTTCTCTTGACTTATGATGGTTTTTGGTTTGTTTTTCTTATTTTAAAAAAAATAAACACCACTTCTTACATGTAGAAATCAGACTTTGGTAAAGCTAGCAGCTATGATTTCATTCATTTTAATTCAGTCAACCTCTCCTATGGCGGCCATTTTTGATCTGAATCAGAACCTCTGACCTTAACGAAGGCCTCTGAGGCCTGCAGCGCTGTAGATGGTGTATTCCAAAAAAGTTAAAAAATAAAACCACTGACAAAAAAAGCCAAACGACCCCCGTTCCAAAGGGGTGGACCCGTTCGTCTGTTTCGAGTTGCATGCTGTATAAGCAAAAACAAGGCTTTGTCGGGCTACCGTATAAAGCAACTCAACGCTGTTTCTGACATTTGAATTGAAAAAGCTTCCTGTATGGGAACCAAAACATCTTCAAACCTGGAAACAAAGTCCACTGGATTGTTTGTTTAACTTTTTTGGAATGATTATAACCTGGATGACTGAGAATCTTCTACCAGCATTTAGATTTTACTCTAGGTTCCTCAGGGGCGGAGCTAGATGGGGGACCAGGGGTGGCCATTGGCCACCCCTACCATTTTCCCCCTCTAATTCAGACATAGGCAGCACTAATACTCTCAACTGGAATATTCAGTACATTTTATTTTTTATATATTATTAATTACTTGACAACAAAAACACTGTGGTTGATTATGCACACCAATATACTAACATTAAAGATGATAAATACAGAATTAATACTCTTTTCAGAACTAGATTTTGTTTTTTATGGGGTAAAGTAGAAATGATGCATCACCGCAAGTCATCCAGGAGTCTTCAGTGAAATCATAGATGAGTAACTGTTTTAATAAAAACTTAATAATAAATTCATGTAAATATTAGTGGTTGTAAATATCAATTTTATGCAGAATGGTTATTGATAAAAGTAGGAAAAGATGTTCACCCCAGAACTCAAACCTCAAATAATTTTATCCACTATACCTTTTGTCTAGAAAGCACAGATGTTTGGATATCTGCGTCTATTTGTTAGCAAAGGGTGTGGGAAAGTATAGTTTGTCTTTATTTAGAAAATACGGATGTTTTGCTCGTTAATTTTACTGTTGGAACGGTGTAGATTGACCATGAGGTTCTGGCACAGATCCACTTTCGGCCGCCCCTCAGTATACACTGGTTATTGCCAGTGTTGGGCACGTTACTTTGAAAAAGTAGTTAGTTATAGTTACTAGTTACTTCTCCCAAAAAGTAACTAAGTTAGTAACTTAGTTACTCCACAATAAAAGTAACTAGTTACTAGTAAAAGTAACTATTGATTTACTTTTGCGAGTGTATGAAATGAATAACTGGGGATGTCTAATTCTGAAATCTTGTGTTTGGGTTGTTATAGATACTGCAACATGTAGCTATATCTAAACCGTATCTGATGGGGAAACGCAGCTCGACGTAACACCAGTATTTCCATTGGAAAGCGCTGTTTTGCTGCTGGAGTCCTCCTCACTCACCATCCTCCCCTCTCTCATGACGCGCGCACGAGTCCTATCATGAAAAAAGGTTAAAGGAGAATTCCGGTTTTTAACACTTTTAGCCCATTTTCTGTAGTGTCCAGGATGGAATCGAATGATCGACACCAAAATTTTGACAATTGGTCCTGTCTCTGCTTTTTGGCTCATGCAGAATCCCCCCCTGGCTGCTTCAGAATGGCTTCCATAGTGCATGTCCGATAATGTCCTTAAAACAACCTTAAACGTTCTTTTTTTTAAATATGCTACTCACCGTGTCGTCAGCGCTGTTCAATGACGTTCCAAAAAAAGTTTCGTAAAGAAAAAACGTTCCTGTAGTGTTTAATTTAGCATTTTGTAAATCCCATTGAGTTCTGTTGGAATAGTCAATATTCCCCTGCCACCGGAAACGGAAATGGGGCCTGTTTACACAGTTGTAGTCTTTTCGCTTCACTCTGTGTACTCCGACGTCGAGGTGCTAACGTCTCTGTTAAACACTTTAAAAAACTCTGAAAATGGAATACGAAAGGTGGATTCTTGATTCTCGACTTCAGAGTACACCGAGTACACCGACCTGAGTAACGTGCAGTAATGGGGCGTCGGCAATTGTAACTGCGTTATAGTTACAGTAAGAGTAATCATTTTGATTACTCGTTACTAAAAAAAGGTAGCTGCGTTAGTAACGCCGTTACTTTCAACGCCGTTACTCCCATCACTGGTTATTGCCTGGCCACCCTTATAAAAATTTTCTGGCTACGCCTCTGCCTCTGTGACCTCCTGCATGGCCGTAATTTTGGGAGGGATGGGGGGGACATGGCCCCTGCACTTTTTAAAAGGTCAGTATTGGTCCCCCACATTTTACTGTCCAAAATAAATATAATGCTTGGACCATGCGGACAACCACAGGTCAAACTGAAGCCTGCTTCCCTGAGTGGCCCGCCCTCTTTTCTTTTGTGATTGGCTGTCACTCCTGAGAAGCTCACGTTACAAACATCTGATGCGTCTCTGAATCGGGTCTTTGATTGGATGGTCAAACACCCTGAAGTTAGTTAAATTTAAAATCTCCCCAGTCACCCCTTCTGAAATCAATATTTGGTCAATGATGTCCTGTTTGTATCCCAGGAACTAATTAGAAGAACTTGTTCTTATTTTTTTTTATATAATCAAGTATCAGGTGTTGTTCTGGGTTCTATTGGCCTGCTTCATGTTGTCAAACTGGCTCTGTGTTTTTGCTTAATTCAACTGGTCAGGCAGTAATGGGTGCAGTGAGGGAAAACAAATTAAAATATCCCAACTTTCTCATTTAAATAACTTTTTTTCACACAGTGAAATGAAATAATCTGAAAAGTCTTATTTATTCAGTCTTCTTTGATTTACATATAATCCTAAAATGTTTAATCATACGTCAACAAACTTCAGACTTATTCGCAGCTTTATGAGACAAACATCAGTTCCATTTAAAACCAAACAGTAGATGGAATGAACAGCTTTATTTCATGTCATTACTATCTTCTAAATGGTCCTTTAGAGGTTTTCCTTTATGCAGAAGTGACTTGTTCAGCTTAAAGCAAAATACTCTGTTTTTACATTCAACACGTCCAAAAAGCTGAAACCCAGATGTGATTTGCAGGATTCAGGATGGAGGACTCAGTTGTTTCCAGTTGATAAAGTTTCCCTCTGTCAACACCAGAGTGTGAAGGTTTGAGGCTCGCCGCAGCTCTGGCTCCTTTTACTCCTTCAGCCAGGTGAGCAGCTCAGGTGTGTAGTAGGTGATGATGATGTCAGCGCCTGCAGGTGACACACACAGCTTTACTGTACTGAACTCAACAGAAAAAAAAACAAGCTCTCTGTAATCATTCTTCCACTGCCTGCAGCTGCTGCCCTGCGACTGGAAACACAAACCGGTTTTAGCTCCTTTATGCTTGTCTGAACAGATCACCTTCACCTGAACTTTTGAAGCGGATGCAGAACTTGAGCTCCTTTAGTGACAGATGAAGGAACGCCGTCACCGATCCTTCCTCCAATCTGCTGTGAGACTTTAAAACCTTCACTGTTTCTCAGCTTTTATCGTTTGTACATTAACACCTTTATTTGCAACTTAATCTGATCTTATTCAAGCAGTTTTTCTTCAGATATGTTGTTTTATCTTGAACATTTTCATTTCATCTGAGTACGCCCTTTTTTTCTCTTCAGAGATGTTTTTCCCTCTGCAGTACAGCCTAGAGATAATTTTTCCTCATATCGTTATCGGCCGATGTGGGCATGCATTGGTCAGCATCCATGACTTCAAGAAACATTAAAGGAGAAGTCCGGTCATATTCAGAATTCAAACATCTGAGAGTGCTTTAAATATGAAATTATTACATGCTGTTCAATAAATGATAAGGGTTTTTAATTTAGAGTAATTTTCATTTGAATGTGCTTTACTGGAGACACCCATAAACTCTACTGCCACCTACTGGTTTGTGACTTTACGGCGTCAACGCGCTATTATCCAAGTCATCTTGAAAACATTTTTCTTCCAAATGTTGGCTACATATTACGGGTTTTTTCTCTGGCAAATCCTCCCTCTTCAAGTTGGCAATCCAACCACGAACCCCTCCGTGGAGGATCAGGAATTGGAAAGGTGAAAGAACTCTTTTTTTTTTCCTTTACCCGATGTATTCCAACATCCAGCTGCCATGCACGTGGGCATTGTCAGTTTCACTACAGCTCTGGTGAATTTTAATGGTGAAGTCCTTTGGAAATCTTCAATAATTGTTGTTGATTGCAGATGTGTCTAGTAGTTCCCGCTGATTTTGCTTGTAAAGCGGGGAGAATGGCGCTAGGCTTACCGGAACTGTGACATCACTGCCGGAAGATGGCAGGAGGGAGGTGTTGCTATATTTGGGCAAAAATGGCCGCTCCCAGACTCAGTGATCGAAACGAAAAAGAATGTTTTTTTATTCTTTTACTGACTAACGCTAAATTCATTAAAATCACTGAGGATGTATTAGCTTTAGGTATAAATAATGATCCATTGATTATTTCTTGCTGACCGGACTTTTCCTTTAAATGACTCACATGCTCTGCTGCTCCCTCCATCTGTTATTCATTATTGATGTTTTGTTTGATTTGTCAACAAATATTTCTTTTGCTTGAATTAAGATTTGTATAACATTTGGAATTTGGCTGGGCTCAGTGGAACAGTGGGTAGCAACAAGGTTGCAGGTTCGATTGCCGGCCTGGGGTCTTTCTGCATGGGGTTTGCATGTTCTCCCTGAGCATGTGTGGGTTCTCTCACAGTCCAAATACATGACTATAAGTATAATTGGCTTCTGTAAATCCTCCTTAGCTGGGAGTGAATGGTTGTTTGTCTCTATGCTGCCCTGCGGTGGACTGGCGAACTGTCCAGGGTGAACCCCGCCTTTCTCCCGTAGACAGCTAGAGATCAGCATCAGCACCTACCATCCCTACTTGGGATAAAGCGTGTCAGAAAATGGATGAATGGAGTTCAGCTTTATCATGTAAACTATTGGCAGCAAAAATGGGATATCAGATAGGCTTAGCGTTTGTCTGCCTTTTGAAGGGAATATCTGCAAAGCGTACCAAAGCGTTCGTCCCGTTTTCAGAAATTGTTGTTACCATTTAAAGACCGTGTAAAGAGAATCCCCCAATTTCCTTCTAAACACATCAGAAATGTCGTAAATATATTTTTCTATGTGTAAAAAGTTTCCCAACCTTTTATGATGCTCTGCGACACTACAATTAAATCTGGGTTTCAATAATCCTGTTTCAGAACTTTTTGGGTGCAGCTTTATTTGATCAATTTAATTCAATTTATTTATATAGCGCCAATTCACAACACGTCATCTCAAGGCACTTTACAGTTCACCCTATCATAGTCAAATTGATTCAGTTTTCTATCTAAGGAAAACCAGTTGATTGCATCGACTCACTAAGCATGCTTGTAGCGACAGTGGAGAGGAAAAACACCCTTTTAACAGGAAGAAACCTCCAGCAGAACCAGGCTCAGTGTGAGCGGCCATCTGCTGAGGCCGACTGGGGTTCAAGGAGACAGAAGCAGATCATCATCTGCCTTTAGCATAGGCCCCGCCCCCTGCTGGCCCAGCAATATAAAAACAAATGATAAGGCTGCCTCTGCATCATTTGCACCTTTTCAGACCCTTTTTTCAAAAAAACCAGCTGGTGATTAATCTCGCAAAATTTTCCTGTCTTATTGGAGACTTTGGTGAGACTGTGGAACAAACTACTCCCTGACATCCGCACCACTACTGACCTCAGCCTTTTTAAAAAAAAGCTTAAAACCCACTTTTTTAATTTAGCTTTTAATTCTGACTATAATAGTCTCTTAGATGTCATCTTTCTGTGTGTTCCTTTCTATGCACTTCTGGAAGGCTTTTAATGTCCTGCAGCACTGCACCACTACAGCACTTTTAATTGTGTCTTGTACGTTTTTATATGTGTTATGTATTGTTTTTATGGCTTTGTTGTAAAGCACTTTGGGTACCATTTGGCTATTCTAAAGGGCTACACAAATAATTTTGATTTTGATTTTTTTTTTTTTTGAAACATAGAGCACCGATCGCTCTGAGTTTACCATCTTTTCCGTGAGCGACCCCCTCCCTCCTCCAACACACAGGGACTCGGACGCAGCAGCTGCAGCCAGTGTCTGCAGTCAGAGAGCAGCTACTCTCCCGTTTCCTGTTTGAACACGAGTCGCTAGTTTGGAAGCTTTCACAGATTAAAAATCAGAGGGTGTGGACTTAGCAGCCAATGCAGACACAACGGATGTTTTCTCATTATTTATAAGATCTAATTTTAAATGCTGTGTTTGTTTTTATTGTTCAGATTTGGATGGGTGATTCATAAAACATTTCTGTGGCGTGACAAACGAAAAAAATGTTTTATTTCTACTGTACGCGGTCTGAATATGCATTAGCAGGTAAGGATTATTTTATTCATTTCACTAAGTTTCGTTTGATGTCAGCTAAAAAACAAACAAAATAAAGCATATCTTGTTCCTTTCCTGACAAAAATCTCCTCTTCTTATAACAGTCTATCAAATTTGTTCTGAAAAGGTAAATAAAGGGATGTATTCATTCATGTATGTGTCAGTCTTTAACTCCTAAACCACCTGGGTTTATTGTTCCTTTACTCAGACCCCCCACAGCTGTGATGTTAGTCTGCAGATTGTTCGCACCTGCCCTGCGAAACGCCGTCATGGCCTCCATCACTGCAGCCTGTAGGTCGAACGCTCCAGCCTTCGCTCCGTGCCACAACATGGCAAACTCCCCGGAAACATTGTAGACTGCCAGAGGATGGCTGGGGAACTGGAGGAGAGATACAGAAAAACACCCAAAGAGCTTTAAATGTTTGGGAAAAAAATGATAAAATGCAGAAATGGTGCTGTAAAATATGTCTCTCCTCTTCTTTGGATTATCTGGCTTTCACTCTCACAAAGAAAGAACCACAGGACGCTCTCAGCAGACAATCAGATCCTGCCTTCGATAGGAAAGGATGTTTTGCTCTAGAAGTCTCTGTGTTTGCCTCCAATTATGATGCATCAACACAACAGTTTACTCTGAGCTTACAGCTGAATTTTAGGATCTAAAGATAAAACCTGGAGAAAGTAAACACCGGTAGGTGAGGACGAGGGGGTTAGTGAATGGACAGATAAGTCAAAGGATGAGTTCAAGGAAAACAGCATGAAGGAAAGATGAGTAAATAAAGAGATAGAAGGATAAACAAATGGATTAACTAACAAACTGGAGAAATTGAGGATTAAATGCTCATAAACATGAAGGAAGATATGAATGGATGATATAAGGATGAGTAAAGAACTGCCAGATAATGACGGATGGATTAATGGTCGAATCAAAGGATGGATAGAGCTTTGGAAGAAGTGATAAACAGAGTGAAAGAAGCTCACCTTGTCCTTGACTTCCCTCATGATGTCCAGGTACGGCAGGCCTGGTTTCACCATCAGCATGTCGGCCCCCTCCTTCACGTCTCGCTCCTGCAGCAAACAGAAACCCAGAGTTCATCATCATCATCAGCAGGGGCAGCATCGGCGTCCTAATCTCCCCCCTTCTTAACAGAACCCAAACATACCACGGCTCGAAGCGCCAGACCTCTCGCCCCGGGAGGAAGCTGATAGCAGCGTCTGTCTCCAAAGGCGGGCTTCGACTGCGCAGCATCCCTGCAGAGAAACAACGCCGGGTTACAGACATCTTTAGAAAAATATCTGATGATCGCTGACCGGCGGCGGGTTTTCACCTGAAAGGACCGTAGTAACAAGAGGCAAACTTGGCGCTGTAGCTGAGCACTGAGACCTAGACCAGGACATGGAGACAAACAGAGCAAAATGAAAATTCTGCATCTTTATTAACAGGTTGTTGTTGTTTTTTTTTTTTTAAATCTGCTGCACAGACATCCGCTTCAGAGGAAACCAACCTTGTTTCCCAAACCGTTGGAGAGCAAAGCTTGTTTTATGGCGCGGATCCGTCCGTCCATCATGTCAGAGGGAGCAATGATGTGGCAACCTGTGCGACAAGCTCTCGTTAAAACCTTCAAAGCTGCGTCAAAAATCACTTCATATCAAACATGAGAAACGAATCCTTCTCTAAACCAAAGTCTTTACGGATCCTTCACACAAATGGAAAAACAACAAAACCTGAACTGGGTTTAAGAGTGTGAGAATTTTTTTTGTCTAATCCATAATTCTGCAGCCTTTCTAATCCAAAGAGATATTTTTTTTATTCAGTTCAGCGCATAAAAGTTGTTTAGAGCCGTAAACACTACATGAAAAATGAAAAAGATAACGTAAATTTAATAAAGATCTACCACGGGAGATTTATCCCTCTTAAGTAACCACTGTGCCAGTTCAAATTGTAGCTTTTAAATCCAAGGAAAAAAACTTGTGAAAAGAGAATAATTTGATTAAAAATTTGTTGCTGAAATTTATAGAAAATTATGTAAAAAAAAACAAAAACAAAACACATTTTCTCGCACTTATAAGATGAAAAAATATGCTTCTGTTATAGTCAATTATGAAAAGCCGAAAAAAATACATTTGTTTGTTTATCTATATTTCAAAGTATTATCTATATTTAGCCGTCACTTTATCATTTTAAGCCAAAGGGATGAGGAACCACATGTTGCAGACGTCTGGTTAAATCCATACAGGGACAAGATTATTAAGCTACAAGCAACGAAATGAAAAGTAAATGCTCCTCAAAGATTAAGTCTGTTTTTTTAATTTGTCAAATGTTTGAAAGACCAATTGAGCAGCTAATGTTTTTACCATCAGGTTTTTTGATGAGTCAGCAAATCCACACTGGCGATCACAACTTAGATCAGGAATCATATTGATGCTTTCAGAGTAACTTTAGTAGCAGTTATGAAGCAGAAGGAGCGAATCCGCAGTAATTTATCCAGAGATTCACTCTTATTAAACAACATAGGAAGGAAAACACGTCTACCAGCTTGTGCATATGCCAGAGCGACCTCTGCCAGACGCAGACAGCTGGCGTCGTTGTTCAGGGTGCCGTCATCATTCAGGATCCCTGGAAGCAATGATCAGGTAGAATAATCAGACAAGTGCTGCGTCTTTATTTATAACCATGGAGCGGGGGGGGGGACACTGACCGCAGTGTCCATGTGAGGTGTAAGGGCACAGACAGACGTCGCACGCCACCAGCAGCTCCGGGAACAAAGATCGGATTTTTTTAATGGCCAGAACAGCAGGAGTCTCATCAGAGTCGGCTCCCGAACCCCTTTCATCCTGAAATAAAAAGGGGGGCCGGTATGGACGACACGTTCAGAGTAATCACTGTGAACAAGCATTTCTATTTATGCAATAGTAAATTATGTTTCCTTGACTTCAGATTTGACGTACCTTTGTTATTTTGGCAGGGACACCAAAAATGAGGACACATTTTAAACCTTTCTCCACCAGGGGGCGCAACATTCCCTCCAGCTTATTCACCCCATATCTGTGAATCACAGTCGTTTTATTATTAAAAAACAAAAAAAAAAACACTCATATATCACAAGTAAAAAAAACAAACAAACACAGAGTCAGTCACTAAATAAAATAGGAATATAAAAGAAATAAATTTTTCAAATAAATACTTATACTTGAATATCAAATAAAATGTGAAATTAACTTAAAAGGAAATAAATATTCACTAATAAATAAAAATGACCTAAACGGGGTATAATAAAAATCTAATAAATAAATAAATATTCTTTTTTATTCACTTTTTTCAATTGAAACAGATTAAACTAATTTCATAGAAAGCAACATACCATAATGTATGATGTTTATAAAGAATACATAAAAAATAAAATAAAACCAATAGAGAAAGACCTTTCGAAAGGTCAAATAAAATCAAAATCAATTAAACAAAAATATATTTTAGGTAAATCACATAAACTAAATATGAAATTCCTAACATGTCACTTAGAAAGAAATTAAAATGACATAAAAAATTAATAGAAAAAATAAAGTAAATTAACAAAATGGGCTGAAATGAAAATCAGTGAATATATGATGCAAAAAATAAGCACAACCAATTATTTAGAATAAAACTGAAGAAACCAAAAGAAAAATCTCAACGAACCAAAAAATTAATAGGAATAAATAAAAACTAAGAAATATTTTTAAAAATACAAGATTTATAAAGGAAAATAAAATAAATAAAATTGGACAAATTGAAAAAATTGAACAAAAAAAATGGGAGCGAAAAGTTTGCAACTTTGAATAAAACAAAGCTCTAACTGATTCTCCTTATCTCTTCAGCCCGGGTTCCCTGTTCAACTTTGGCTCCACCCTGCCTAGCAGCTTTTATCTGAGGACAACACCCATGATGTCTTCATGAGTTTGGGCTCCTTATTCATCTAAAGCCATGCATTAAAACATTAATCTATCAGGAATCTATCCTTTCCACATTTAACCCTCGTTCCGTTCCTATCTGCAGCTCTGGTTCAGGTGTGATTCTCACCTGGCCTGTCCTGGCAGGCTTCCGATCGGCTCCACTGCATCTGAACTGTCTCTGTAACAGAAAATCAGACACAGGCAGCACCATTCATACATGTTCAAAGATCAAAATCCAATTAGGCTCGTTTCCATTTGTCTTTAGATGAGACTCTAAACAAAAAGTAATTTAACTTACGTGATAAAGATTGGATAGATGAGATTGTCTGGTCTAAGATCAGTGGCGCAGGTCTGCCAGTAACGGAGCGTTGGGTGGAAATATCCACTATGAAGGATCGACTGTGCCGGTGTCTGCATCTTCACCCTTCAGCACTAAAATACCAGGAGATAAAGAATGCAGAGAGAGAAAACAGCTGAAATTCTGTTATGTCTTTGTTTAAAAGCAGAGCCAAAATACGGCAGTAGTTTCTTTTTTCTACATTGAAAGACCAAGTCACAGCAGAATGAGGAATATGTGAAAAACGTAAAAGTGTTGAACATCCAGCGACTAAGGCTGCTCTTATTTTCTTCATGTTGTTGAGTGATGAAAATATGCCAAAATCAAGAAAACCAATAAATTTATATCTATGTATTTCATAATAATATTTATATTTCTCGTTCTGCTGATAAAAAAAAAACATTTGCACTATCAATATTTCTTTTTTCCCCCCCCCTTCATGCCCAGTTAGGAACAGCCGAATTTATTTACTGGAAGTTTAGTTTTTTCTGCTCAGTCACTGAGAAAACTGAGCAAGCATGCATGGTTAATTGTGAAAATAACCCAGGATGAAACGAGCTGAGGAAATCCAGTGGAATGTCAGGAATAATCCACTACAAAGGAGCAAAATGAAAACAATCTATTGTCTCAGCAACATGCAATAATCCTAAAATCATGTTAGCTCATAAATGTATTTATGAATCTAATTACTATAATCTTATTAAACATTTATAATGCATTTCTTTTTAACACCAATCTTTATTTGAATTACGTTATTGTGTAGACTTAAAATATAGTGTCAAGATGAGAAAATAATTAACAATCCTTAAAGAAAAAAACTAAATATTAAATTTTTTTAGGAAAAGTTCCATTCATAAATCTTTATGAAATTGTCTTTTGGTTAGCTAAGCAGAATAAGCTAATTCTGATAACTGAAAAATAAAAAGCAGCGACATTTAACATTCACTTTAGGTGAGAACTGCAGCCAAAAAGACAATTTTCTTAAAATTTTCAAACATATGGTTTAAAATAAAGTTTTAAACCTTATGTCTAATCATAAAATCTATATTTTAAAGTTTTATGAAGTGAGAACATTTTGGTTATCCTGATGTTACACATCAATAATAACTTCCTACAGATGTTTCAGATCCTTTTCAGGTCCTTAGTGTCTAAAAATGAATAACTCTTTTAATATTTTTGTGTTTTTAATCATAATTTCTAAGGTTAAGTTTTAACAAAGAATCTAATTCTCGTTGGTTCACTTAATCTTTTTTTTTTTAGTTTTTTTTAACACAAAGGAATCTTATTGTTAGTATCAACTTATTATGTAGTTACAGCTAAATATATATAATTTATTTCGCCCAAAAAACTGGTTTTCACAGAAGCTTCAAAATGAAATAAAATCATTGTCTAAAACATAATAATAAATGCTTGTAGAGTAATCTCCATTTTTAACTGTTTAAAAGCTGCAGGCTTAATGTTAACAAGAGAAATTAAGAGCTAGTTCACCTTAAATAACAGCATAGTAACATTTTAATTACATTAAAGTCATTCTAATTATGAACACATTAGCTATCAAAGAAATAAAAAGTGTTTCAGTTAAAGTTCAAAATCCCCTGAAACATTAAGCGACGTTCAATGGGTAAAAAAAAGTTGTATAATTTAGGAAAGTTTACTTAGAAACAACTACAGGCCCCTGTTTAAATAAAAGGAACTTTCTTGTGAGCAGAAGGGTCAACCCCTAACCGTCTTTAGATTTTAAGCTAACAGCATATCGCCGCAAGGGACATAAATGAGATAGCTTTAAATTAAATTAATATAACTGTAAAGATATTCAAAAAAAGATAAACACCAACAAAAATCTTTTAATTAAACTCACCTCAGAGTAAGAGGACTGTCACTTCCACTCCTCCGCTCAGATATGCTGCGGCTTCTGCTTCTACTTCTTCGTCTCCTCCTTTTGGAAGTGCAGCAACTACTTAAGAAGCAGCACCATAGCTAGGTTGCGCCTCCTAAAGGCGAAGAGTATAAATGCAAGCAAATTAAGCTTGACTTCCCTTAGCTAATACCACTGCTACTACAAATAACAATTGTATAAATGTGTGGTAAATTCGTATATTTAGCCTTAAAAGTAAAAAGAAAAGAATTTTAAATTAAAACGTGGAAAACCTGACTAATTAAGTAGATAAATTTAATATTTACAAGACTATAAAAAAGAAGACACAAAAGTTACGATTATACATTGATTAATGATTAGACTTAAATCCAAGAAATAATAAATAAATAAATAAATAAACTGCTTCTGGGTCATTAAATGTTTTACTTTTTCTTTTAAACAGATTGTAAATGTCATAAATATATTGTTCTAAATGTGTAAGCAGTCTTACAACTATTGAGAATGTTATCATATATTTATAATTCAATTTGTGTTCCAAGATTTAGGATTAATATTAACTTTATTGTCCCAAAGGAAATTAGATTTCTGTACAGACTCTGGCTGGTACATATTCCAAACTATGTGTCACACTGCATTCACACATAAAAAAAAAAAAACTGCTATAAAAGTCAATTCTAAGACAATAAATAAATACACAAGGAAGCATGTTACATTACATTCACAATAAAAAAAATTATAAAAATATGTGGGAAAATAAATATATAAAAAAGCATGTCAGTTTAGTTTAAATTTTGAATACCATTGCCTATTCCACAATTTACTGCTTGATACGGCTTGATTTGTGTTTCAGGATTTTATGGGTTTGGCTCTAAGGATGGTCATCAGAAGTCATGCAGCTGAAATCTATGTATCATTTATGCAGCTTCTGCCTGGTGTTAGTCCAGGATTTGACTTCTGATGGTATTTTTTTGCACTATGTTCTATTTAAGTGTGTCAAAAAATAGGACTGAATATAAATACAAAAACATGTACTTTTCAGATTTATCTGTCTTTCTGATGTTGGTTGTTTTTTTCACCTCTGTTGTAATCTTTTTTGTGTTGGTCTGTCACAATGATATCCAGTTAAAGATATAAAGGCTTGTTGTGGTACTGATGCACTGTAGTCATTGTGTAAGTATGAGTCAGTTCAATGTTATGAGGAAGAAGATTAAAGAAAATAAACCTATAATTATGAATGGACTGTATTTATAGACACATGCGATTACATTTCTTTACAGCTCTTAATCATAAGGAAGCCAAAAAAAATGTTTTTCCAGGGTGATTCACAGTAAGAAGGAAATTATTTGACTCATTATAGAGAAATGTTAGTTGTGTATGACACAAATCGTGTCATACATATGTCTGGAAGAGAGCTACAAAATAAATTGTTTTGTTAATTGAATTTGGCCCATCTAATGTGATGGCAGATCCTTCAGCCATTACTCTTCTGTCTAATCTTAGAGGTTATAGCTGTACCACTTTCAGACCTCTAATACCTTTAAAGGTAGACCTTTAATGACCATATAAGGGCAATTTTTACATTTTATTTTTTAAGACAAGGCATATTTGAATAGCAGAAATCAGTAAAATGTCAGTTAAAAGTGCTCTACATGAATTAAACAGTTAAATAAAAAGCAAGTAAAGATAAAACACAAATAAAACAGTGATACATTTCTTAAAAGAGTCTGTTCTAAGTTTAAAAAGTATTCCAACCATATAGAAAATGTATCATGAATTTATAATTTAATTTGGGTTTTTCTGATGAAGGATTTTTTGGATGCGGCTCTAAGGGCAGCTCTGGGCTGTCAGGAAGCTGAAATCTATGTATAGAAAGCATTATGGTAAGTTTTTTTCGTTTTTTGTTTTTGGTCTTTCGCGTGTATTAAAGGCCGGGTCACATGGTACACTGAAAAGTTCTTTTGCAGTGCATTCCAAAAGAACACGGCCCCAGATTTTCAGAGCAGAAAAATCTTTCCATTACTTTTGAGAGCTAATTTTACATGCTTAGTGATGTTTTTAATCATTCAAATTGTGACTGGCTGATTAATAGCACATGTTTCTGTTGACTGAAAAACTTAGAACACATGTATTCCTACTTTACATGGGCTTTAATTAGATTGGTTATCTATTCATCACACTTTAAGTTCTACGGAAAGATGTTGAGACACTTAAAATCAATCAGTAAACTTCATTATAACTATTAGTCACATATAATTCATGGTAATTTTTGGTTTCTTAATAGTTAAATCCTTTAACTGAATACTGTGCATCAGCTTGTCATCATAGATTCATCACTACTTGGTCTTTTTGTATATTTCAGAAATAAAAGACTCCAGAGATGAACGATCAGCTATGCAACCTTTAATTAGCTGTTTTTATTCATCCTCTCTCTGCCCTATAATAACCTTTGTGAATGTGTCCAAGAAGCCTTTTTCTATACTTTTCCTTCTGTTTTCTGTTTATAATAACTATTATAATGTTGTGTTTATGTCTAACAGAATCTTTATTTAACAGTTTTGAATGTTTGAACGTATGGGATCGACTGTGCGTATGGCCATTTGTATGGGAATGTATTTCCTGTTATATCATACTCTGCACTATCTGTCTGTTTTATTTATTTTTGATTATCACATCTCCAAGGGCCATTCCTTTCAATTCTGAAAAAGTAGGAAATATTGCTTTTTTTAGTTATCTAAACACATTTATGAATAATTTAATTTTGACTAAATTAATGAATGTATAACTTTATTTCATACAATTCAGTAAAAATTCAAAAATAACACATATGCTAATTTTGTGATTATATATATAATTATATAAGATGTATAATTTTGTGCTTATTTCTAATAGGGGATAGGAGGAAGTAAAACTTAATAAATCACACCTCTTCTCAAAAAATATAAAGATGTACACAATCCTTCAGAACCTACTGTATATTTTATTTATATATATATATATATATATATATATATATATATATATATATATATATATATATATATATATATATATATATATATATATATATATATATATATATATATATATATATATATTATATATATATAAATAAATAAATTAACTTTATTATCCAATGTAAATGATTAATTTAATGAATTGGATAGTGGTTTATTAAAAATATGTTTATGTTGTGCAACAAATTTGATAAGTTTGAAACAAGATTTAAATGAAACAATAGACGAACCCTTCAAAGCGTCTTTTTTTAAGCTTTGTAAATATTACATTATATTAAAATATAACTAATTGGACAGGAGTGTTTATGTTATTTAGAGAAAAATAATAAAAAGGCAGAAAAGGACAAATAAATTAATGAATTAATTAATGGCATCGTGGCGGATGCCTCTTTCTTGGGACCTCGCGTTGCTTTGTACAAATTGTTGATCGCCAGTAGGTGGCAGCACTGTTAAATCAACGCCACCGTTGAGCCGAAGAAGAGCGGAGGCAAAAGCTACCATGTTAGCTGCTTGTTAGCATCGCCGTGTTCTGCCTGTTTCACCTTAAACTACATGGAGAAGAAGAGCCGCCCTTCGTTTCTAAGGTAAATAACTCCACACAACCTTGAATATATTTATAGTTTTGCCTGTTATCGTGTCGTTTTTGGGCAACGGAGCCATACGTAACTGTGGTTAGCATTCAGTAGCATTCGGATGGTTTCTTTACCTCAATCTTCGAGCTTTTTGTTTTGTTTGAAAATGACCTGAAATGTTTATGTGATCCCATGACGTAATTATGTAGAATGAAAATGCACAATCTGGTTCGTGATCTATGTGAAATGCCAATAAAAAGTCACCTGACAGTAGGGAAAGTTAGATGCTGGGCTCAATTCAGGGGCCCTTTGCTTTACTAAAAACCAAAACTTAGTTTTTTTTTTATGCTTTTCTTTATTTTTTCTAGGTGAAAGTAGGATTTTAAGAATCACAGAGCAATATCCACATTCTGCTTTTTCTTCAGGCTAGATGAGAAGATGTAGCCACACAGGTGGGGGATCCCTTCACTGACATAAACCCTCCTGTTTTTGGGATAATCCTCCCACTCTCCAGCCCTGGAGCTCCTCCAACTCTGACCAGGAGCTCGGATCGGCAGCTTTAGTCCATCCGTCCATCCTCAGCCATGCTGTTTTCTCTGAGGGAACTGGTCCAGTGGCTGGGCTTCGCCACCTTTGAACTGTTCCTCCACCTGCTGGCCCTGCTGGTCTTCAGCATGCTGGTGGCCCTGAGGATGGACCTGTTCGACGCCAAGCTGAGCTGGTGGCTGGTGTTTGTCCCCTTGTTTGCTGCAGACGGGCTCAGCACTTACTTCACGGCCATCGTGTCCATTCGGCTGTATCAGGAGAATGAGAAACGCCTGGCCGTTCTGCGGCTGCTGTGGGTGCTGACGGTTCTCAGCCTGAAGCTGGTCTGCGAGGTGCTGCTATGCCAGAAGCTGGTCGACCAGGAGCGAGCCAGAGACCTATGGTTCGGCCTTATCGTGTCGCCTCTCTTTATCCTGCTGCAGCTGCTAATGATTCGGGCATGCAGGGTCAACTGAGGGCAAAGTGGGCTCCATGCTGATGCTGGAGCGGAGAGCACTCTCCATCTGCCATGAGAGATTTTAGGGATACAAGTTATTTTTTCTTTTTTCTTTTTCTTTTGAAATGTCACCTTTTGTGATAAAGGTTTTTTATGTTTAGGTCACTAAGAATCACCTATAGCAGAAAAGCTTCAGGAAACAAGAAGATAATTGAGAATATTACCGCAAGGTTACTTGTGGGCTCAAAGACATCTTGTCTGTGGTGTAGGTTTGGAACATAGAAAGGCCGTTAACATCATAGTTACTGACTGATGATGAGCCATGAGGAGAAGTATGTTTCAGTATGTGCAAAGGTCTTGAGTCATCTTTTCTTTCTTTATAATTTCCTTCTAAGCAGCCAGTTTATCTCCAGTCTTTCTCTATTTATGTTTAAAGTATTTCCTCACAATGCTAACAAACTAACCAATTAAGAAATAATCAACAAATCAGAATGTCATCATTTTAAATTGGCTAAATATGTCAGACTTTATGAAATGCACCATCTTTTATTTTATCTTTTTATTTTGGAGAATTGAACTGAAGACGTTGGAAGTAAATTCTCTGTGTAACACACTGCTTATTCTAAATAAAATTATATCTGTTCAGTTTCACCCAAAGTATTTGCAGCAAAGCTCAGATGAAGGAAACTCAGGAATATCCATTGAATTAGAAACATGTCTGAATAGATCAAAATTACAAAAAAACCTAAATATTGAGAATAAATTCAGTCAAATGGCTTTAATTAAGAACTGTCAAGTAAAAAAAACATTTTTAAAAATACATATTTTGATAGATTTAAATGATTAATGTCCAAAATTAATAAGTAAAATTAATAATGCTAAGCCAAGTTGAACAAGGTGTGGCTACTTTGAAAAACAAATCTAGAGAAATACTTAATATGATCATTACTAAAGGTAAAAGTACTCATTTAGTCTGGAAACCCTCTGCAATTATTACTTTTAATCCGCAACTGTGTTTTCTTTTCAGATTTAATTTTTATTTTCCAGTTTAACATTTTATTCTCCGTCTTGCAGCTAAAAACATTCAAACTGTCACTGTACGTTTTCAACAGTTAAATAGCAAAATAAGATGTCTCACTGGACTGCGTCACGTTACACAGAGACCGACACCCTCCCTCCTTCGCTGTTCTTTCAACGCTGGAAGTTTATTCAGATAATTCTCATTTATTTCCACATAAAAAAAAAAAAGTAACTCTGGATTCCTGTCATCTTCATTTTCATCTCCATGGAGGTCATAGGGAATGCAAAATCTGGCATAATTTTACTGATAATCATCAGTTTTTGTGTGTGGTTATTAAAACATAAATATAACTGCTGGGATATTTCAGTTTGCATTAAAATATCTAAAAACACTATAATATAAAATAATTGAACTGATTCCTAATATAAATACTAGAAAAATAATTTTAGAAAAAATAAAATAAAGTTAGTATTAGCACTACTGCAGTGGCATCTTGTTTAATATGAACAGGGCAAAACCAGTAAATCCAAATAGTTTGGTTCCTTCAAAACAAAATCTAAAGAAATTGCAGTGACTCAAACTTTTGCATAAAACTGTTCTAATGTGTTCAAAATGTGTGAACCTAATAAGGTGATATTAGAGGAGGAGTTCCCTGTTCATCTGATGGGTTGTGAGATCCCAGGAAGCCGCTGCAGCTCTATTTTCCCCACAGGACGACGCTGCTCATCAGCTTAGACTCCATTATCTCCCATATCGTTGTTGGGAGCGTTGCTCATCCAGCTTCTTCTCCTTTATTTAAAGTTGTCTGCAATCATCTTCCCTAAATATGCTGTTCATGTTTTGTTTTTTTACCAATGGTGTAGAAAATATCCAGTCTGTTTTTTTTCTTTGTAAATATTTTTTGCATGTATTTATGGCCTCCTTTTAATTTAACTCTTGATGTATAATTCTGTGTAATATGTATATGTTGAATGTTTAAACAGAAATCCACATGTTTATATTTATGTTATGATTTTTTTTTGCTGTCGTACGCATAGGGTTATTTGGAAAGGATCTGTTAATAAAATAATAAAAAACTTAAAATAATCTGAGTATGTGATGTCGGGGTGTATAAGCACTGGCTGTCCACAAGGAGTCGCCAAAACTGTGATCGCTCATGTTTACATTTTCTTTTCCAGTTGTGTGTTTAAAGGCAAATTAAACTCTATGCTGCTCTTGCTTTAAATTAAATTTTGCGTTTCTTTATATGTAAGCACTTTTGGAATGCTAATAGATATACAATAATGTGGAAAAACTCAACACACCAAGATTAGCTCATGTTTGTTGAAAGGAGAACTGATGACAAAAACATCTTATTTCAAAACAGAAAATCTGAAATGTTGGGTGTTTGTATATTTAATAAGCCCCATTTAATCTGAAACATCTTAATACATTATTTGAAACCCATTAGCATGATAAACGGAAAGATTTAATCATAAGATTTGTTCAAGGGTTGTCCGTTAATATGACGAAGGACAATTTCCAGCACTTAATCCATTGTGGTTTTCTAATAACATACTTCAATTGCAAATTCAACAGCTGAAGTTACAGCACAAAAAGAATGACTGGTGCATAAACATCTTTATGGGTTTTTGATTTCAGGATCTTGCAGGAACCCGTTCCAAGTTAAAAAGCAGGCATTCTCAAAGTTGGTCCTCGAGGGCCACGGTCCTTCAGGTTTTAGAGGTTTCCCTGCTTTAGCACTGCTGATTATGATGATTGCAGTTGAGCAAACGCCTGTTAATCAGCTTTAAAATCAGATGTGCTGGAGAAAGGGAACCTCTACAACCTGCAGGACCGTGGAACGACTTTGGGGATGCCTGGTATAAAGGCTATTGCTCACATGGAAAGGGCTTTTCAGCTGACTGTCAGGCTGGGCAATCAGAGAAGCAGACAAGAATCCCAGTTAGAAGAGGCTGCTTTTTAATCAAGCAGCCAGCAAATCTTTCCAAGTGGTAAGAAAGAAGCTGTATATTTTTCAACAAACACTAAACCATGAAAGAATGTGCTCTGATGAGATGAGATTTAAACTGAAATTTAAGCCCAATGTCTAAGAACTGACCCATGCACCACATTGAACATAAACCCATAGAAAAGTATGGTAGAGACAGCATCGTGCTTTGGGGAGGCTTTGATCCAGCAGGTAAGGAGAAGTTAAACTGAGTCAAATTCAAGGCAATCGCTTGTAAACAGAGAAAAATAAAACTGAAAGCACATATCTCTTTTAACAAATAGTCAACCTAAAGACGTGTAAAAAGAAGAAGGGTTTAACACCTTTGCTTTTTGTCCTCAGCTTGTAACATCCAAAGTTAACAGCAGATCTTTTACAGCTCAGTAAAAGTCCCTCCTGACATTGCAGAAACATTTCTATTGGTTTGTTTCCTTGTTAGTGTTTTTAGGTACGGATTTTATCAGTAAAGCCTTTCATGATTGAGGAAATGACACATTTCAGGTCAGAATTAATGTCCTCTGTGCTCTTTGGTCAGACTGTGTTTAATTACGCCTTTGACATGAATATTTTATTAGGAGCAGTAATCTCCTGTAGCACCCAAGAATAGCCCACTTAGTGCTGATTCATGTGCAGCAGACTGCACAGCTTAGGTGTTCAGTGAGCTGTATCGCTTAAAGACATTTGCTGCGGTGCATCAGAAACATCTCATAGCATTAAATACAACCTTTAAATGTGTGATTCAGCTGCTATACTTCAGCTGATGCAAAACTAAAAGATGTCATTAAGAACAAACTTAAAACGCACCGCTCCTGCAAGCATTTTAATATCAGTAGTGGGAGGATTGTTTTATAACCCTGAGTTTATTTAAATTTACTCATTATTTATTCTTTTACATTTCTTGTATTTTGTGATGTACATCACATTACCTTGTGACGTTTGCTTGCTTGTGACAGGCGCTATAGAAAAAAAAAACTTTACCTACTTAAGCATGATTGTTCCTACAATATAGCGCTTCTGCAAAGAAAAAATCCTGTTTTTAATGTAACAATTGTGTGTTTTGACTATTGGATTTCATTGTAATCAGTGTAAATACGATAAATTTTTTTTAAAAAATGTATTCGAATAATCATGTATGGATGATATTTGATAAATTATAAATGAGTGTGCCCAAATAGCCTAAATTATTAAAAAGTGTTAAAAAATATATAAATAATATATATCATTATTAATTATTATAGTAATATCAATAATAATTAAATAATTGTTAATAATAATTAAAAGTAATTAACAATACTGAAATAATGATTTATATATACATATTCAAAAGCTTTATTATTTTATTTATATATCTGTATTTTCAAAAATGCATAGTCATCTATGGATATATAGATAATTGAAATAAGTAATAATATTTGATAAATTATAAATAAGTGTGGCCAAATAGCCTTAATAATTAGACAGTATTAAAAAATATATAAATAATATATTATATTACATTATTCTAATTAATATTCAATTTATATGAATGATAATCAAATAATTATTAATAATAATTAAGATTAGTTAAATAATAAAAATGAAATAATGATTTTTATATAAATTTATGTATTTTTTTTGTCATGTATGGATATATAGATAATATTTGATCAATTATTAATAAGTGTGCCCAAATAGCCTAAATAATTAGATAGCTAGATAGAAGATTAGATAGTTAGATGATTAGATAGAAGTATTAAAATACCTTAATATATAAATCTTTGAAAGTTTTTTTTTTTTGTTAAAACAATTACAGTTATTGATGAAAGTGCATATTTAAACTGCCATTTTTTTTTTTTTTATGAAAACAACGCCTTAAATTATTCCAGATGGCTTTGGCTTGGCTTTATTTTCTAATCAACAGATTTATTATTTTTAATTAAATTTGACATCAACTATTTTGATTGACAGTTCTTCATTATGGTAACAATGGAAGCGGGAGTTGCTTCAGAGAGTGAGGGGCGTGACTTTAAGTGGCTTTGACCAATCAGCATTCGAGAAGGCGGGGTTTAATTCGAGGGATGTGAGGAGAAAGGGAGCTGACCTGAAAGCAGGCAGGGAGCGAGATAAAGCGGCGGAGGAAGGGATGATTATCTGTCCGCTGCTCGGTGCTGCAGGTACGGTTACAGCCGGATAACAGCTCTCATAGCGCCGCAACGGACTGCGGTCCTCCCGTTTTTCTTCACGAACAAACGTGTAAAAATGTCCGGCGGGGGAGACACCCGCGTTCTCCTCCAAGAAGCCGGCCAAGAGAGTCCGAGGATGCCGGCCTGGAAGCGAGAAATCCTGGAGAGGAGGAAGGCTAAGGGCGGCGTTTCTGCCCCGGAGGCGAGCCCCGGTGGCGCTCACGTGAACGGAGAGCTGACGGGAAACGTGAACGGCAGCGGCGGTGGTCCGAGGAGAGACGGCGAGCCGAGCGGTGTGACCGGGCGGAACTACACTATCACCACGGCCAGCCAACATTTCGCCCACAACAAAGAGCCCCGAGCGGCGGCGGCGGCTGAGAGGATGGCACCGAGAGAGAGTCTGGTGCTGCAGGAGAGTCTGGGGCCGCTGGAGGAGAACCCGTTCATCAAGCTGGAGAAGGAGCGCAGGAAGCGGCAGGACCGGGAGAACACCGCCCGTCCGGTCCAGCACATCCTGGAGCTGTACGGGAGCGTCCCTGGGATCAGAACCATCCGGGCCGAGAACATCATCATCATCGAGTCGGATCCGGATTACTTCCAGGAGGCCGGAGACGGTAAAAGCTGGCAGCCGAACGGCGGGGACAGTTACAGCTCTCTGAACGACCTGCTTGAGCGGAAAGGCAGCGCGGTGACGGAGATCAGAGCCAAGGAGGTGGTCATCTACGACAACACGCTGAGCCGGAGCGAGGAGAACCTCAGCACCCTGGGCCGCCCGGATCAGGTCTCCGATGATGCCGCAGAGGGCCAGGGGAGGGTCAGCCGGATCCTGCAGAAGTTCGACTGCAACTATGGGAAGCTGCAGAAGAAGTCCCGCAGCACAGATAACCTGCTGGACCTGGATTGTAGTGCCAGTGCCAGGCCAAGACGTTGGTCCAAGCCACAGCCAGATCTGGTGCCAAATCCCAGAAGTCCAACCTTCAGCAGCCAGCCAACGTTGCCTGTCTTCCAGGCTCCTTGGACTCCCAAACCAAAGCCACAGCTGCAGCAGCATCCAGGGTCCCCCCAGCCTGTGTCCTCCTTCCGGCAGAGGTTTGAAGTGCCCCCTGTTCAGGCTGTGGTCCCCAGAGATGAACCAGACAGAGGGCAGAGCAAGATCACCAGGGAGCGAGACTGGGAGGGCGCCGAGGTGCCCCCCAGACCTAAGGTGCCATGTTCTCCCGAGACCCGCCGTACCCGTGCCGAGTCCTCCTCACTGCCCATCTCCTCGAAAGTTATACGCTCCTCCTCTGAGTTCGAGATCCGTCCCTCCCCTAAGCCGGACATTGACCGGATCCCAGATGGAGACACCCAGGCTAGGGCCCTCGCAAACCTGCGTCTGCAGTCCAAAAACTCCTTCACGGTGGTCCCAAAGCGTCACCCTCGAAACCTCGACCGGCAGCCCTGGACCCCAAAGCCCAGTCAAGTCGTCACCCTCACACAGAGCAGCTGAAGCGCCCTCACCGGGAGTGCCAACCCCTCGCTCCCCAACACTCCCTGCCCCTCGCTCCCCAACACTCCCAGCGCTCACAAAGAAGAAAGAGGAGAAAGTTCAAGAGAAGAAAGAACCTCAAGCGCCTCCTGTTCCTCCTCCAGCCAGTGAACCTGTAGCTCCTTCCTCTCCACCTGTCCTGACCTCACCCTCTCCACCCTCAGAGCATCCCACCGTGGACAAACTGCCAGTCACAAATATCGACGACATCGAGGTGGAGCCCGCGCAGCGTGGCCCCGTCCCCAGCCCCATGGTACAGAGAAAAAAGGGCAACACCTTCACCGTGGTGCCTAAACGTAACCAGCAGACCCCAGCCGAGCCCCAGCAGGAGGCTCCGATTGAGGCCCCACCGGAGTCAACGGCACAGCGACCAAAGTATCCCCAGCTGGGCAGTCGGCTGAAGAAACGCTACCCCGCCGTGGAGGACATAGAGGTCATCGGAGGGTACCTGAGCCTCGCCAAGTCCTGCCTCTCCAAGACCGGCTCTGTGGGCAAGAAGGTGAGAGGAACCGTCTCAGTTACTGATGTAGGGAATCACAACATCAGGAAAACGTGCAAGTGGGAGAAAAATGGGATTAATACCAGTTTTCCTCCGTCTTCTCATTTCACATCCTCACTTTTCTCTATTCGCTTTAGCATTCTGAGAACTAAACCAGACAGCATCAGATTCACCTAATCCGACACTTTGTGATGCTCCAGATTTCCTTTAGCTTTTCTCTATAAACTTTGCCCCTAAAAATGACAAAATGTCATCTTAACAATCTCTATCTAACTCATTAGGACTTAGAAATCCCACAGTTTTCATGTGTTTAAACGCATCAACCAGTCTGTGCTTTGATCCACTTCTTTAGTTCAGTAATATTTGGGGGAGTGATGGCCTAGTGGTTAGGGCATTGCACTTGGAATCCAGAGGTTCTGCAGAGGTACATTTCTCCAATGGGAGACAAATCTTTGAGGGCCTTAATTTGGAGGTTATTGCAGTTTTTCCCCCCCAATTTTAAATAATATGCAACACATTTTACATTCTTTCTCTCCTCAGAGTTTTATGATTATATGGTTAAAATCAGAACCGGTAGTCAGACCTTAATGAAACGGAACATCTTTGTTGACCAGGAATTATGGGATTGCTTTGATGCATACATGGGGATAATCTTCTAATTCCATCATGTTTGGTGGTATTTAAAATAACTTTAATACAGAACCTGCAGCATATTTGGTTCTTGGAGAAAAACAACAACATTTTTGGTCAAAAATCGGAACCTTGAGGAATGATAATCAGTGGATCTCTGGCTTGGATTCTGAATTTTCCGGTTTGTCCTTTTATAAAAACACAAAAGAATTTTTATTCACCTGATTCTGGATCTTCCTGTGATCTAAATAAAGAACGTCACTGAGGAGTGGCTCTGTTTTGGTTGCACCTGTCTCCTAACTGTTCTCCAACAAAGCCGTGCTGAGTGTGTGTGTTGATCTAAATCTCTTACGTCCGATCACTGGACCTGCTGCAGCTCTTTCTGTCTAAGTGGATTAACTGTGTGTTTACACAGCCGGTTGGAGCAGCATGCAGAGCTTTTCTGCCCTTTTTTTGTTGTTGGTCGTCCCACTAATTCACGCAGTTTGTTGTTGTTTCCGTTGGATCTCGTTCAGTGACCAATCCCATCAAAGCCGTCTGGTCTGCTGCAGCTTCTAAGAAGCAAAATTTTCCGTTTCCTTAAAAACTGCGTGTTTATTCCCTGTAGCTTTTGTGATTAAATCAATTGAGCGTATTTTAGCGTTATTTAAAGATCACAGATCTGATGCTTTGCTGCTTAAGGCAAATTATTTCTGATTCACAAGCTTTTGGGATTAATTAAATATCAGGCGGTGTTGCTAATTAATTTTTGTGAAGAGCTGTAGGGCTGATCTCTCAGATTGAAACCGGATCAGTCTTGCATGTGATGCTTTTTCTTCTGCAGAAAGCTGGTTCCTTTATGATGCATCGTCATCTTGAAAGGAGAGGAAATAACTGCACCCTTTGCTTTGAAGCTCTCTTTATTTTTACCGAGGCTGCGGTGAGATGCACAGGAACCACAGCATCCTGGACAAAGGTGCATCATGGTTGAACCATAAACCTCATCCTCTCATAGATATGCACAGTGCAACATCACTCATGCATGGAGAAGTTTTACACATCTTATTACCAAATTAAAGCAGAGATGCGTAACTTTTGACCCAAATATTAGCTTCAAGTAGGATACATGATTATGTACATGGCGCGTATCGATGCTCCATGCAGGCTGCCCTTTTTAAAAACCAGCTGAACTATCACTGCAAAGTTAAAGCTGTTTTTTTTTTTAAGTTTAGGGGTAGTCTGAACATGTTTAAGTCTTTAGTCTAAGTTTTAGGTCTGGACTTTGACTAGGCCACGCTAACTGATGAATGGCTTTGAGCTTAAGCCGGGCATACACTTTCCGATATAATTTTTTTTTTGCAACGCTTCTCCAGTCGTGCAAGAATTTTTTTTCGATAAAGAACGTATAACTTTTAAACCCTGAGGTTTCTTCATACATTTAGTGTTGTAGCTGCGTTCAACAACTGAAAATATCATGCTTTGTATGCCCGACCCAAGATGTTCAATTTTGGCTTGGCCTAATGTTGGCCCCAGTCTCTAACAGGGGTTCTTCCAGGATGGCTCTTTGTCTTTAAAGTCGTAGGGAAACGGCTGTTCCAACGGTGCAAAGTGAATGTGATTGGTCGTTTATCAAGGGGGCGGGATTGCTGTGGTGGAAGGTTCGCAAACAAGTTTGATTGTGGCTGGTGTCTCTAAAGCATCTTGCTAACCAGTTAGCAACTTAGTGCTAGTAGGTTCCCAATGGGAAATTCCATTGGGACCAAGTAGCACTAAATTGGACAGCGGAAACATGCAAGAGGAGGAGAGTTTTGTGTCGGACGTCGTGGATGAGTCTCCTCCGTCGTACATTTTTTTTTATTTAGAAGAGGAAAGCAGGAACGAAGTTGTTGTGGAAGAGGACGCCAGGGCGGCAGAAGCTTGGTTTGGTGTAGAAGGCTTCCAGCCGTACATGTTTGAGCCCTTGCCTCGCAACGCTGCCAGTTCTGTTAGCTCTACGCCTGCCGATGACACAGACGTCCATCCCCGTGAACACTGGGATGGAACTCAATGGGAAAGGAAATTATTCTTATTTCAACCGTTGCGTTTATTAGCTGTGACATATGAATCAAGATGCTATGACCGAGAAAATGTGATTGACAGATGACCGTTGATATATGATTGACAGAATTTAGGTGTACTAGCTGATGTATAACTAACTGGTCTGCATAAGATAACAAAAAAAAACAACACAGATTTTAAGACAGGATTTACATTTTTTTTATATAAATTTTACAGTACATTTATATACATGTTTAAGCAAGAATGTTTTAACATTTAGCTATGCCTTCCCTACAACTTTAAATAGCTTCTTCCCCACATCATGATGCTGCCTCCGCATGTAACTTTAAAATGATATTGCTTGTGAGATTTTTTTTTTCCTACAGTCGCTTTTCTTACAAGTTTGGTCTTTTTTCCAGAGTTGATCTCAGAAAGGAAATTATTTGCATAGTTGAAGCTATTAGGCCTCTTTAACAGCTTTCAGAAAGCCAGAAAAACTGCTCTTGATCCGTAGCTTTTAGGTTCTCTGTACACTTTTGCTGATTTTGTTTATTGCAGAAAGGTTGCTCATTAGAAGAACAGTGTTTATCTCGGTAACCTCTCCCATCGGCAGCACATGGACCCGGGCCAGTGTTACAGCCTCTCAGACTTTGGCCTGCCATTGAGATACTAAATCCTCCGCCGTCTTTTTACAATCAGCACAAGGAACCTTTACATGTTTCATTATTGGCAGCCCTGGTTAAGCATGTGCTCAAAAACAAAGAATCATAAAAAGAACAAAAAAATCTCTTTCTTTTCTACTTTCTACTCTTTTCTGGTACTGACCCGAGTTGCACAGCCAACTGGAAAGGCATGATGGGTTTGGGCCCGCTCTGCATAAATTGTGTGGAATATTTTTTTCCCTCTGTATAAAAAGGGCCTGCAGAGTTCTGGCCCGGTGTCGGGGATTTATTTATTTTTTTTTAATGAGGAGTTTGGCCTAAAAAAAAAAAAAAAATGTTCCCATCAAAAACTTGAACTCTTTCCTCTTGGTTTTTTTTCCACAGCTATTTCTCTTCCCAAATGTCTGATTTTTCTTGTCGGACGTCAGGCAGCTCAGACCCCGCTTTAGCCTGCTTCCTCGTGTTTCCATTGCACATTGTTTTGGAGGGGAAAGTGGTGATTAATAAGCTTCGCTCCCAGCTTCCTGTGATCTCCTCTCTGTTGGAGAAAGAAGTGTGGAGGAGCTACTGTATGTAGGTCAAGTGCAGCTTTTTGTTCCACGTCACTCCTATATTTGCATAAAACCGCTCAGAGTTTTTGGGTTAAACACAGAATGGGATTGACTCCATTAGCTTCCATTTGAAGTTTGCCTGGGTTTCCTTTCCTTTTAACTGATCGCTGAGCATTTTAGACATGATGGATGTGGACTGCAGAGAGCCGTGGGAGGAGGCAGGGTTTGTTTTTGAAGTTTCCCTTTCCCTCTAACTACTGGTTATTATGGGAAAAGGAAGATCTAACCACGTGTTTCCCAGCAAAAAAGATGCATATCAGTGTCTCTCTTAAGTGTTTATGCTCACTTTAAAGAAACGTAACGCTTAATTGAGGCTCAAAGAGCTGTTTCTTATGGAGTTCTGATCAACCTGTCACTGACGCTGCAAAAAATTAAATATAAGAAAGTCTATTTGTTCCTGAAATAACTGTATTTTACCTTGTTTTGACCATCTAAGCTAATTTGCCAACAGAATAAGACGATTTACATTTAAAATTTTAAAAAACAACTCCATTATTCCATCTCAAGTATGTAATGCCTAATTTCATTACTGTAAAGGCAAATATATGGAGAGCTAAAAGGGCCAAATTACATAAATGAATATAACAAGAAATAAAAAAAATGTAAATCTATTGCGAAATAAAGAAACAAACGTTAAATGAAAACATAAATGTATAATTAAATAATTAACTGCATCATTTATTAATTGTTTACATTACTCAATAATTATATGTTGATTTCATAATGACATGCAAAGTTAAACAAGTGTGCCATTGAGTACTTTATTATACTTATAGTATGACATTTAATAACATGTCTTTTTTTTATGAATTAAATTGCACATATATTGTCATTCCATCATTTGGTGGGCGGGACCACAGCCTCGTCCACAGAAACCCTGATATCTGATTGGCAGCTTCTCACTTAGCAAGACAAGACGGCTTTAAACTCTTCCCACTGAATCTTGATTGAGTTTAGGTCTGGATTTTGATCTTGCCAAACTTGACAAATTGATTACTCTTTTTCTCCTTACTTCAAAGCATCCTGTAGAAAATAAACCAACAGTCTCAGCCTATTACAGATCGGTATCCCATACCATGAT